AAGACGTCCTGGGGCCCCAGGCCGGTGCTCACACTAGCATGGCACTGGAGGCTCCGGAAGCCGTAGCGGAAGATCCACAGGGCCAGGTTGCCATCCCCAGCAGTCACCACCCGGTTCAGCTGCTCGCTGTATATGCCGCAGCGGACGGGCAGCGGGGATCGCACCTGCGAGAGCAGCTGGAAGCAGGAGTCCAGGACCTGGAGGCCTCCCGCATCCCAGGCCACAAAGCGGTCGACTTGGGAGGCATAGAGGACCCCCGTCATGGGGGCCGGGCCCTTCACACTGCCCCGGCAGGAGCCGTCCTCCGCCAGCAAGTGCAGCGTGTTGCCCGAGTCCAGCACTACGAAGGCCCTTCTCTGCGAGTCGTGGGTCACGTGGCGCACGGGGCTGGCCAGGACGATGCGGCACTGGTGCTGCAGCCCATGGGTCAGGTACGCGGTCTTCATTTCCTCGTTCTTCATCTGACCGGGAAAGAGAAAGGCTGTCGCTGGGCCGCTGCCAGGAGAGCCCATCGTGTGGGGTCTTGTGGCTGGCTGGGAGCTCTGCTGGAGGACCGGCCAATGCCAGGTTGGGATCCCACACTGAGTTCCCCATTGTCTTTATCCCCGTGCCCTCTGCTCTGTGGCAGTGCAGCCATGCATCACGGGAAAAGGCCTCCAGTTCTGCAGGTGCCAACAGCCCTGCCGCCCGGCTGATTACGAGGCCTGATAAGGCTTAACAAAAAGGGGTCGCAGCACGCCAGGGCTGTTTGCCCAAACGGTGTGGGGCCGAGACTCCTGCGCAGCATGGCTGAAATGGGGCCCCTTGGGACACTCGGAACGCTGGCTTGGAGCGTTCAGGGGCTTCATCACCCCAGCACCCATAATCCACAATGTGCAGGAAGCACAAGGATGTGGAGCTCTCAGTGCAGAACAGTAATATGAATTAATAGAAAATAATAGCTGCAAGGACACCACGCATATGAAGGCCAAACCCCCTTCCCTCTTGTTCCAGCATGCAAAACGACGGATTTAAGTCACAGGAAGGCGGAGTCCGGTGGGCTCCTAAGAAAGGCTTTGTAAGAGCTGCTGGAGTGGACGAACGAGCCCCTTCAGAGCCTGTGTTCAAGGGGATGCCAGACAACCCTTTCTCTGGGGTGCCCTGGGGTTTGGATTCTTGCCCTGACCTGGGGTCACGCTCAGGGCCCCTTTCGGCTCCACGAGTCTGTGGTTCCAGGCAAGCTACCTAACACTGTGCGTGGGTTCATTGGGGAGAGAAGGCTAGGCAAGGGGGGCAAGGGAGCTCTGTTTGCACCCACATCCGACAGGCTTGGATGGCAAAGGAAAGCGCTGTGTCCGGAGAGCAGCAGTGACTGCGCAGAGCGAGCAAGAGTAGAGGCTGCAGGAAGACCTGGGCACACCTCCTGGAGGCTCTGGACCACTTTAGACGCAGGAGCCCAAGAATTCAGGCTGGGCAGAGCCCCCAGAAGACAGCGTTGGGACCTCGGGCCTCGTCCCTTTGAAAGGCAACTGCTCCCTGACCTCTGGGTGGACTCCTTACGCACGGCCGTCCTGCAGGACAGCCGGCTGAAAGGCAGGATTTAGCCTCCTGCCTGGAGCGATCATGGCACTGTCTCCAGCCATCCTTTTTGCGGGCTGAGGGTGGCCCTTTGTGGTTCTGCTGCCCCCATCAACGTGGCTTCCCCGGGGAGCCGAGGAGCAGCCAAGAGACCAGCCCTGGCCTCCATTCGCAGGGCTGCTCCGGCCCCAAACTCCAGGGGCGGAGGAGGAGACATGGGCCGCACCGTCACCCCAGGGCTTCTGTACCCTCACGCGGGCTCCGTCTGCTGGACTGCTTCACCGCTGGGTTGGGGGGCACTTTTGGCGCCCGGGTCTTTCCCTGCTCTGCCGGACTGCTCACTGGTGACTTCCCCCTTGGTCCGCCCCGGCACCATGCCGCTGGGCACCCAGATGCCGATACTCCCTGGGCCTCTCTTCAGAAAACAGACTGTCCCTGCAAATGGGTTTGTCTCGGTCTTTCACTGGATTGTTTTCATGTTTACGTGTCAATTCAACTCCTTTTTCCTGCCCAAAAGATTTCTTATTTTCTCATCCCGCAAATACATGTTCTTTTGAACCTAAACTCTTGCGACGCGCACAAAGAACACGTGGAGTTCGATAGCACCGTTGTTGCCCCCATCTTGACTTTTTCGACCACCGGCGCACAGGAAGGGAGCCGACCTGAGAAGCTGCGGAGAAGGGGCTGCGCGGCCTCCCTCTCCCGAGGAACGTACCTTTTCCACAGCCCGGCGGAAGCCCTGCTGGAGGAGGCCCCAGAGCTGGCGCCCCCTGGCCTGCCCCCCTCCAAGGGGAGCCCCCTCCTTCTCCTCCATCGCCTTCTCTCCCGCTGGTGGGGCGGCCTCTTCCTCTGCCCCGCTTGGCTGGCTGCGGGAGAAGGGGCAGGCGGTCAGGGGAGGAGGAGGCTGCCCCGCTGCCCGGCGGGTGCCCCAGCCAGGGAGGGCCGTGCTTACAGCTGCCTCCTGAGAGCTCCACCGTCTTGCGGCCTGGCACATCTGAGTCGCCTTCCGCGGAAGGTGGGAGTTCGGGGCCCAAAGGCCTCCAAAGCAAAGGTTCCAACCAAATTTCAGGGCTGGACTTGACTCTGGAAAGAAAAAAGAGGGTGCAGCCAGGGGTCCTCAGGAGTGGTGACAAAGGTCAAGATGGCAGCCACAAGGTTGTCATCAAAGCCGGCCTCTGGACTTTCGACCTGCCTCAGAGCTCCTCAGCCAGGGCAGCCGGATCCCAGCCCCCCACCCCGGCTGCTCAAGGCCCTCGGGGGCTGCATTGCACGTGGGGCCCTTCTCCTCTCCCAGGGCTCAGATCCTCCCGCAGGCGGCGGGCGTGTCCAGC